ACAAGTGCCATACTAGTAGAAACAAGAAGCTACTAGTAACAAGTGCCTTACTAGTATAGAAACAAGAAGAATTAACAATTAGGGAGGTCAACCACGCTACCACCGGGCCTACCACCGGGCCTACCACCGGGCTACCTGGTACAAGGGGCTCTTCTCACGTTCTGCGCGCGTTCTTCGCCCATGCGGATCTGCCTGGTTGATGAGGTTCTCCAGCTCCAGTGTCTCGATGAGATCGGTGTTCCTCAGGACTCGTTCGTTTTTGACAACCCAAAACGAACTCCAATGGGGTGACCGTGGACCTCAGCAAACTCAGTCCTTTCTGTACATATCGCTTCATAAGTTCAGTCAATTACTGTATTTTTCAGTGGTCTACATCCATTTCTCTCAACACAAATAGGACTTTAATATGTGTATTACACAATATTAGCCACAAAAAAACACAATCGACCGAAGGAAAGATGACCAATGGTTTCTTGCCCCTTTTTGGGGTCACAAATCGCCTGGGCCCAGGGAAAAGGCCGCCGCAAGAACTTCGTGGGCTGCCGTCGTTTCCCCATGTCCTTTTGCTTGATAATAATGGCCTTCAACCTATAGAAGCGATGGCCTCCAACCTAAGAGCGATGGCCTCCGTCCCAGGGGCATTGGTGGCATCAAGATCTCCACATGTTCCAAGCTGAGAAGCACATCTTTTGACGAATATCAATGACAAAAGATCTGCTCTTCCGTTGGACATTCAATGCTCCAACATGTGCTTTTGCATGATGTGTTAGATGACTTAGATGAGGTTCCTACATGATCAGTTGATTGTTACTACTAGTAAGGCACTTGTTACTAGAAGCGATGCACTTGTTCCTAGTAGCCTTCTTGTTCCTAGTTTGAAGATGATTGAAACCTTTGCAGCCGAACACACGGGTTGTAGCTGCGGCAGCCCGCGGTCACCCGGGCATCAGGGCATGCAGCGCGGCATCAAGTAGCGCTGGCGCCTTTCCACCCACTCCTTGACCTATTGGGTTGTCTAGTAGCAAGGCCAGGAGCCCCTAGTAATGTCCTTGTTCCTAGTAGCGATGCTAGTAACGATGCCAGGGAGCTAGTAGCTTCTTTGTTCCTAGAAGTCCGCCCGCACCGAAGGTGCTGAGGCGTTTTTAAAAGGCACGCATTATACCGCAAGTACCGCAAGTACTAGCTTTAGCTAGGGGGGGGGGCCATTTTCGCTCTAGAATCCCGTGTTTTTTCACGTTTTTGGAACCGGCTTAAAGTGCTGGAAGATAAATTCGTGCTAATTTTTGCTATCTTGAAGCCTTCAGTGATGCAAGAAATGCAATTTTCTGCTTTGCATCATCTGCATCATCTGAGCGGTAAAGTGTAATTGGACTGAGGCCGGACATTTGGCTGAACAGGTGCCCCTAACGGGGCTCAACATAGCTTCCGTATTGCGTAACATAGCCCTAGAAGTCACTATCTAACGGACGTGTCTGCGAGATAGGGACTTGAACGTCCGGTAAGGAAAGATAAGGTCCAGGAATGGTGGTCAGGAGCAGA